GCGGCATCCAAGGAATCGTTGGGAAAATCCAACCAATCCGGAATCGCAATCGGCTAAGTGTCCAAGCTGCTAGCACATCAACCACCCGAGAACGGTGCAGAGCTCCTGTATACAGCGTGCTTACTCCGCCATCGCTAAGCCACGCCCCAGGCCAACATACTTAATTCATTGTTCCAATCGTTATAAATAGGCCAGAGTAATGCACAAATATATGACTTCTTCCAGTTAATTTGTTTCATCCTCTATCCACCAACAAAAAGAAGACTGTAATTGTGACTGATCAGCTCCAGAGAGTACTGCAAATATAATTATTACATTTTATTAAAAGAAAATGTAATAAACATATATACTGTCAAACCAATACTATTGCGTGACATTACATTATTTTTTTTCCGAAAAGTGATTATATGCATAAACAATAAATATAGTTTTTAATCATACAGGGAAGTTTTTGGCTATACAGCTGTTATGGCTAAAGTATAGATTCCTTGGTGAGGAACAAAAAAAATGACCCTCATGAAAAGTACACTCCTTTTATAAATAGAGATAGAAAAATATCCACATTTTACCTGAGATGACGCATAAACCTTTATCAAAATAATTAGCAGTACCCAATTTACCTTTTATGAACCCTTGCAGTGGCTACTCCTGCACTGCAAGGGTTAACTGCTTGTTTTACTCTAGGTGATAAAATAAAAAAGTTATTCTCACCCAAACCTCAGAGCCAGCTGGCTGTCACAGCGCTCCCTCCAGTCTGTCCCCTCTTAAGATGCCGCATTGGTATGTCCCTTGGCTTCCTCACATCCAATACACAGAGTATTGGACATGATGACTCCAGGATCCTTAGACCGGTGCAGGGGAATCATAGTGAGTTCAGCTGGGCGGAGCCAGCCGTGATCTTACGGCTGGCTCCGGCCACCTTCAGTGAGATCAGCGTCCCTGGTTACCTGCTAGTTAAAAAAGTAAGGGCAAAATATTCCTCCATCTATGCTAAACTGTGTGGATCTCTTGCTGGCCAAGCTTCAGTATCTTGCTAGTCAGCCCCGCAGGCTCTCAAAATACCTGAACAATACCTGCATCCTATCAGATTGTTCAGGTATTTTGAGAGCCAGTGGGACCGACTAGCAAGATACTGAAGCTTGGCCCAGCAGGAGATTCCTCCATCCACACAGTTTAGCGTAGATGGAGGAATCTGTTGCCCCTTTTCCATCTGACCATAGAAAATCTGCAAATAATCTATAGGTGTATGGCCATGCAGCTTTAGAAGGTAGTGACCAAAGGGAAGCTTGCCCCCTCTATTCTTGTTTCAGAGACAATCAAACAATGTATATACCAAATGTTTGACACCAGGGCAAATAGAAAAGGTGAATCTCCTGAGCAGGGCCAGAGATAGCTATGAAAAAAATTATAATGTATCTATTCCTTTTCTACTGTATCAAAAACTAAAAACAAAATGGCTCTAGCTTAATATAT